CCTTTTGAAGGAAGTAAGCTGCAGTTTTTATTCCTTTCAAAAGGTGAGCTTACAGAATGTCAGCAGGGCCTAACTATTTCTATGGAAATAACTATTCCCACTCTCTGCATCTTAATGGCTGGAGGATAACTGAACTCAGCATCCAAGAACTCACCAAGAAGATTCTAGGAGAATCTGACAGACTTAAGAATAGGAGATTCTTACAGAATTAAACATTTGGTTTTGGCCATACACAGAGCAGTACAGGTCTATAGATAGACTTCTGGTTACAATTCAAGTTGTTATAGCTTACAACAAAGTCAGGGTTTCTGCAGTCCCACAAACTCCTCTATACAATCAATCCATTAATCTCTTCAGGAAAATAACATCCCAATTTTGAAATGCCTGTTGCCTGACGCTCAGGCCTCAACATTTCTGAGGAGGCAATATCTCTTCCTGTTAGACAAATAATGAACTGTAAATTAACACTTTCAATTACATGCAACGGCAAGCCTGATGTACCAAATTACTTTTTTTTTTTTTAACGCGGATGGCTTTGATTTTCACTTTCTCAGACTCACTCTGTTAACAAAGCATATTTGAATTACTAAATCCTTAATTTATCCAAGCACAAAACACAGTTTTATTTACTGAGGCATCTCAAAGTGATTTCTATTTATATCTGAATGAAAACCATCTGAAAAGGTAACTAAGTCTGAATCATCGATTGCAGAACCAATAAAGTATAATATATGACTAAATGTAGTTTTAAGCAAATGTAAAAAAGAAAGAAATATTCAGAATTCAGTTATTGAAAGAATAGTCAGAGGAATGAAAGCTTTTGTACTTTGGGACTGGCTCTTTTTTAATATGCTTAAGTCTCCTATTAAAGCCAATAATAGTTTTGGCTAAGTAATGAACCTGTAAGAACGCAGCATGTGGCTTTTCATATAAAAAAATGTTATGATGTTTCACTGGAGGATTCAATATTTGTAACAAATAACTTATCAATTCACTTTAAAAATTACTTCTGTGAGTTCCTTATAAAATGGATCAATATTCCACGTTACAGGAAAGTGTTGAATTTTTTATGCACCTGATTAATGCATTGTTATCATCCCAGTAATTAAAAGGAGCGGCATTACACACAATCAGCACGATACATCTTACTAAGCACCTCCTGGCAGTTGCCTGCAAAAATTAAACTCATTAATCACTGTGATGCCAAGAAAGAAGTCTGAAAAAGATGAAGAAGTTCTGTTTCATGAGAAAACAGTTCTCAAGTCAACGTGTAGGAGAAAATCCCTTCCACTGTACAATATGCAAAGCATTTATCTCATCAGTCTAAAAAGTAAACCAATCAAAATCACCATTTAAAAAATAACCTCATTAATCTAAAAAAGAGAATTGTGTTAACAAAATTGTATAACCTGCTATACCACCACACTAAACTGAATGAAGAGTTCTCAGAGATGTTTCCTCATCTAAATAAATGTAGTAAAAAGCTAATCTTATAACAAGGTAAATATGTAATCTGAATTTTGTTTAGAACTGTTGCAATTACTTTAATATCAATGATGCCACAGAGGCAACTAGGAAATGTTTTTCTGGGGTCATTTATACAGACCCTGGTTTCTTTATTACTCCTCTTGTAAATAATATGATTGTCTCATCAGATGAACAATTAACATGAACATTTCACAAGACTTAATCCAGGTTTTGTTCAGTAGTTAGGTCTACTATACATATATTTTCTCATATACCTGCCATGAGTTGAATCATAGTAAAAACTATTTAAAATTCTAAAGAATGCTGTCACCTCTACTTTGCTGTATTTTTATGTTACTAAAACAATGTTCTCAAGTGTGTCTCAATGGTGCCTGTAAGTCAGCAGTTGTCATATAAAATCGTTATTGGTTTTGATTTGAATTTTGTTAGGGAGTTACTACCTCCTTTTAACTCTTTACAGATTCCAAGCAGTATTTTTCCATCAGTAGTACTTCCAGTGGACAGAATCCTTACTTACAATACTGTGACCTTCAAAGGCAACATCCTGTCTTTCCCTCTGTTTTGTTCTGCATTGATGTCTCTGCTGGTGCTTAAAAATACAGCACACATATTTCAATAGGAAAAGTCATAATCAGTAACCCATAAAATACACTCAGTTCTCTCCTTTTTATTAATCACATGACAAAGTTAGGAACAGAACAGTCTCATTCTCAGGTTTGTTTTGATATTTCCAAGTGTGAGAAGGGAGAAAACCCTTTGTTTCTATATGTTTAAGTTCTGGCTTTTCTTACTACATTGGTGTCAAAAGATGAAAGACAACGTGAATGTCCCACTTGTGAAAGACAGAAAACAGAAGTCTAATCTTAGGAAAGAGTTTCCAGTACTGTGTCCTTAAGCCCTTGCCCATGATGAGAAACAGCACATACTCCTGGCACCCAGCACAAACAGACCACTCTCCTTGGACTCGTCCATGGTCTTTCCGAGCTCTCTGCCTCACTTTCCCCCTTTCCTCAAGGGTTTCATGCCCAGGGCTGCATTTACTCGTCCTGATTGAGCCTGACTGCTGGCATTCTGTCTCTGCTACTCTCACCACAGACAAAGGCGAGAGGTCATGGTCAGCTCACCCTGGCACGGTCCTAGGAGTGTTTGGAGAGCAAACAGCTCCTTCTGACCCGGGATAGGACGGATTCGGCACCCCGGACAGCTCCTCTGACACGGCACAGAGGGGTTCAGCACCCCGGACAGCTCCCCTGACCCGGGACAGCGGGGTTCAGCACCCCGGACAGCTCCTCTGACCCGGGACAGCGGGGTTCAGCACCCCGGACAGCTGCCCCAGCCCGGCCCCGCCCCTGTTCAGCACCGCGGACACCTCCAGCCTCCCGCCCCTCCTGCCAGCTCCTGGCCCCGAGGGACGGACCCCGCTCCCTGAAACACACGATTTAAAGGCCATTTCCACTGGTTTGTCACGACTTCTTCCTCCCGACCTGAACGACTCTCTGCCAGAGACCACCGGCTCAGGTTTCCCAGTCTCTGCTGAAAGGGTGCCCCTGTGAACTGCCGAGCCAGTCCAAGGGAATTTCTCGTACAGGTTGCCCCCTTTAGACTAACTCATACTAAGCGCCCACGTGCGTTAAGGAGTCACCCCAAATCCCTGCTTCTGGCCACACTTTTTTGCACTTCGTTGCAGAAGACACCAGGCAGGCACAGACAGCAGTGTCCCCCAAAAAACATCAGTGCCCAGCAGCTCTCTTCACCCACACAACTCTGAGGGGATGTGGGGGAGAGGGAAGGAGGGGGAAGAAAAGAAAGGGGAAAAAAAAAACGAAAGAGAGAAAACCTTTCTTTATAGAAGTTAAAGGATATTATTATTATTATTATTTTGGAGACTGTCAGCAGAAATACTCGCACATGCTAAACTGCAGGCTTTCCTCTGCTTCCGGACTCAGCGCTTCTGGTGACCAGAGAAGCGGCTCCAGACATCTGCTGTCTGCAAGGCCAGGAAAGCGAAATTAAAACAATGAGGAAAATGTGCCTGAGCCCAGCCCTGGAGGTGGCACTCCGCTGGCTCGCAGCGACACCTAGAGCCCAGCACACGGCCGGGAAGGGCCCGGTGTCCCCAGCCACACCGGGAGAGAGTCACGAGTGGGTGTGGGCACCCGGGGAAGGGCCCGGTGTCCTCCTGCACTTGGCCAGGGCCAAGGGCCATCAGTGCCAAGATCATTGCGGGTGAGGGGGTCACAGGGAAGAGTCAATTCAGGTCCCTGTCACTGCTGTCTCCCGGAGCTGTCAGCATTCAGTCACCACGGGAGGAGGTTTAGGTCGATTGGCCCCATCGCTGACAAAAGTGCACTTGCTCTGTGGACCACAAAAGTCTTTACGAAGGCACGGGAGAATGGACAGGGATTTAAAAGATAATCCGAGGACATTTGCCTGCATACACAACTCTCTCCTCTGAGTGAAACAGCCCTGCTGTTGTGGTTTGAAGCTGTGCCTTGCTTGGGAAGGCTCCCAGAGCCAAAGCTAAACCCTGCTGCAAAGCTAACGCGTCCCACTCGGGCAAAGAAGTATTTTTAACAGACACAAACATTATTCCCAACTGCAGCCATTTGCTTCCCCTTGTGTGTGCTTCCACAGAGGCAAAACACACTCAAATCCCTCTGCAAACCTAACACCAGTCAGCCATGCGGAGCCACACGTTTTGATCTATCACTGGCCCTTTTTCTCTGAGTCTGTCCCCCTCCTCGCCACCCCGAAAGAACCAGGGGCAATCGATCCAGACTAGTTTAACTCCATCGGAAACAGCAGGCAGCCAGCGGCCTGGATTAGTCACTCGTTACTAAGGCGATATGCAGATGCACCCTTTGAAGGAGCGGAAGGTGCGTGGCCGAAGTTTTCGGCTTCCCCGCAGGGGCCCGCCAGGGGACAGCGGCGAGGGGGGACAGAGAGACCCAGAAACAGCTGCTCAGGGGTTAAAAAGTTTCCCTGCTGCCAGGTTAGGAGGAGGCTGATGGGAAGGCGAGGAGGGAGGGACAAGGTGAAGACTGCTGTCCCGGGAGAGTGTTAAAGGGTAAAACATGGAACAAAAATTAAAAAAAAATTTGAAAAATTTAAAAAACTAAAAGGGGGGTGGGGAGCCTTGTCGCGTAGCTTGGGGCAGCAGGACGGAGCTGGCACTTGGCGTTTCCTAAGATGCTGACCCCGCGCCCCCCAGCCCCGCTCCACGGGAGCGGAGAGCCGCGCAAGGAGCTCGGTAACGGGAGAGCTGCGGGGACAGCGCGGGGGCGGGCGAGTCCTGGCTCCGCTCGGCTCCCAGCGGGCTCCGTCCCGTACTATTCCCGGCACTTCAGGGCAAGAAGAGCAGCGCAAAGACCCGCCCGCAAAGAAGAGCGGGCAAACCGCAAGAAATCGCTGCCAGCTTAGAGGGGCACACAGCCATCCCGCAGGACAGGGGGCGGGGAGGGGGGGGCACCCAAAACCCAACCCAGCCCCACGCGAACGACACCGGCGCTTACATCCTCCTCCTCGCAGTCACTTCGCGACTGGTACTGGAAGCGGGGCCGGCCGCCTTCCTGTTGCAATGGACGCGGGGTCTTGCCGGCAGCGCCGTCCTCCTCGCTGCTCTGGGCGCCCAGGAGGTGACTCGCTTCGGGGGGAACGGGGAACGAGCGGGAGGTGTTGATCTTCCCGCTGAACCGCTGGTACAGTGAAGCCATGAAGTCAATCCGCGGGAAACGAGGGAGAGGGAGGGCAAGAGAGCCGCTTCTTTTTTTTTTTTCTTCCCCTCCTCTCTTCTTTTTTGGCTACAGCATGCTACACGCGGGTGATCAGTCCCACATCAGTGGGAGGGAGAGCGAGGGATCCTGCTCCCCGGTCCTCTGCACCGGCACCCGGAGAGAAGCCGGGGGGTTCAAGAGAGCAGAGACGGGGGAGTGATGAGAGGAGGAAGAGAGAAGATAGATAAATAAATAATAAAACGCAATCGAGCCGTAACACCACAGGCCCCGGGAATGCTGCACCATCCAGTGTTGGGAAGGGAAAAAAAATAGAAGAGAAAAAAAAAATAACCAAAACACTCCACGAAGACGTACCCCCGATAATGGCGCCTGAGTGGATCAGCATTAAATGTGCTTTGGGGGTGTGCGTGTGTGTTTGCAAAAGCAGGGGAAAAAAAAAAAAAAAAAAAAGGAAGGGGGGCTGGCTCAATCGCTGGCTGTCAGCGGCTCCCCAGGCAGAGGTGGCGGAGCAGTCGCCTCCGAGGTCGCATACCAACAGTGTGCACAAGCGAGAGGCAGAGTGACAGAGTGTGTGAGACGGAGTGGAAGAGGCTGGGAAGCCTCATTCAAAGCACGTTGCTCTTCTTGGGAAGGAGGGCTCTTCTACGATCATCTCCTTTTCGGTACCTTCTGGGTTTTTTCCCTGCCTATTTTTTTTTTTTTTTTCCCCGGGGAAACAACTCAAAAAAAAAAAAAAAAAAAAAAAAAAAAAAAAAAAAAAAAAAAGACAACAGACACCTGATCGCCAGCCGACAGAGAGAAAAAAGAGGTGGGGAGGGGGAAGGCGAGGCTGGGAGGCGGGACCGGCAGCTGGAGGGGCTCTGGGAGGCCGCTGGGCGCGGAGTGGCTCGGTCCCGAGGAAAGGGCGAGGGGAGGGAGGGCGAAGCCTCCCCACTGCCCTGCCCTGCCCCAGCGGGCACGGCTCAGCCCGGCAAGCACTGCCCGCTCCCCGTCCCTCCGCCCGTCCTCCTTCCCCCCACGGCCGGGGAGAGGAGGGAGAAGAGGAAGGGTTGCGGGTTTTTTTGGAGGTGGTCGTTGTCGCCGCTTTTTAAAATAATCCGGTAAATCGTGTCTCTTACTATTTTTGTATTAATTCATTTTTGCTGCATTAAAACGTGCTTCAGCGCCCCTCAGTGGAAATCCGCCCAAAGCTGCTCCCGGCGGCTCCGGCCGGGGATAAACAACAGCGATCCCGGCGCCGGGGCTGGGCTGCGGCCGGGGCCGGGGCTGGGCTTGGAGCTGGGATCGGCTTCGGGGTCGGGGTCAGGGTGGGGGTCAGATCGGGGGCCGGGACACGCCGGGAGCCCCCGGCACTGGCCTTTCTCGGGGCCGCCGGGCCCCGCTCCACGGCCCGGGGCAGCGCGCACGGCCCGGGGCAGCGCGGAGCTGCAGCGGGACCCTGCCCCGCCAGCCCTGCACGGCTGCCCGGGACACAGGGTGACAATTCCTGTTGCTCCAGCACCAGGCACCGGGGTTTCCATAGCAACAGATGCTTAGGTTAAAAGGAAAGTGGCAGCGTTGCTGTCCGCTCTTCTGTTGTCCAAAATCCTCCCCTTTGACATCTAAATTTGCCGAGATATTGGGATCGCAACACACAAAGCATGAAGTGGTGTTTGCCCACTCGCATTGAGAGACTTGCTGCTGAAGAGCTCACAAACTTTATTATAATTTAACTAGTGGATATTATGGGCTAAAATTCTGTTTCTAAACACTGTTCTTGCTTAAAGTTTTAGTTGTTAAGATAATACCATCTCTGATATATGTAATTTCATCAGTCTTTAAAAAAAACCCACTTCAGTAGATCATGTATACAGTATTCTAGAGTGCAACAATTCCCCCACTCCATGATTTCAGTAACTGCCTGATCAAAAATCTCTTTGCGTCTGAATTGTTTCATCCACTCCTTCTTATTTGTGTCTTCAAAGTCAGGCATGAAAAGTCTTAACATTTAGATGAAAAGGGAACCTTATCTCATCAGGAGAGAAAACAAAAACAAACGCTCTCTCTCCTTCCCGATGGAACTTGAAAGAAGGAATCGTTTTGATCTTCACAGCTGAGATCCTGACATTTAATTAAAAAACAAGATGAGCACACAATGCTCTGAAGCAAAGGTCTGGCTTCTAAGTCATAGTGACATCCATCATAACAGAGGTAACTTTCCAAAAGCCACTTGGACCCCTTGTAACTTTTGTTTCAGGCACAAATTGACTACCAAAAATCTGGACACATAGCTCAGCTAAATACCACCTTGAACTGCATTAATGATATTTGGAATAATCATGGCCTTATGATATTTGGAATTGGTGACAAATAGAGCTGAAAAAAAAGGAACAAGAGGATAAAATTAAAAGAAATAATACATTTTTAACTTCTAAGGAAAAACTAGGACACAAAGGAATAATCAAAGAAAGCCACAAAAAAGCAAGATGAAACCACTAGGCAGGAAAAAAACAACAAAGATTAAATGTCTGAATTTAAAAGTTTCAAAGAAAGTACAGAAAAAAGAAAACATTCAGCATCACAGCCCAGTTCAAAACCAGAAGAGCCTCTAAGGATGAATTCAGATCCAAAAACATTGTGGTTTTAATTCTTAAGAACCAAGATTTCACATAATTGAGTTTGCTTAGTCATGCACACATATATTGGACATGTATGTGTGTACAAAATTCCTGGAAAAATTATATTAAGGGAACACAGAATTACAATGTCAAATACTTGAAAAGCTCAGTAAAAAACAAACAGCCAAATGGTTCTCATCCACCAAAAGATCCTGATCATGTAGCTTTGGGCTGTGATTCATTCACCCAAAAATAAATAATTACAGCTATTTAAAGGCCCTTCTGATTCCAGCTCTCCCCTCTACGATAAACCAGGGACAGCAGAAACAATTTAGTGCCATGTTCTGGGTGTCATGGTGGGTGAAGAATGTTTGCACCAGTTGGGAACTGCAAGACACATTTCTGTCACCCTGTTACAGCCAGAATGACCTTGTGTGGAAGGGCTGAGCAGGCAGCTGGAGGCAGAAATATCTTCAATAACCCCCTGCAACAAGATGCACCAGGATGAGTCTGTGGGTGCCATTGCTGAAAGCAGGAGGATTTTTCTGAGTCATAGGGACCCAGCTGATTGCATTAGAGACTCTGGAGAGCACTCCAGCCTGCCTGGGCACAAGTTAGCTCAGGATGTCCCTGAAAATGTGCTGTGGTAGCCCTGCCTGCCTGCTAGGGAGGGAGCCCAGGGCTCCTGAGGCTCTGCTCAGGGCTGGAAGCACCTCTTCCCTCCACCCTCCACCCTGCAAGCCCTGGTTAATGTGCTGCTCATCTGTGCATGACTGGGAGCCCAGAGTCCTCTACAATGTCCAGGTTATGTGACCAGGTAGTGGCACACAACGTGCACACAGACAGGGCATGGAAAGCATGGAGCCAAAACCAAGAAACACAGGAAACACGGAGACATGGCAGCAAAGTGGCACTGAACAAACACCTGATCAGGAACTGGGGTTGCACTGCAGCAAAAGACCTTCCCAGCCCATGGCAAGATTTGAGGAGAAGTGTTTTTTTGTGTTATGAAACGTGTAAAGACGCAAAATATTTCAAAAGGACAAACATAAAGTTCTCGTCTTTAAACACACGTCCTACATGTAAGGAAAATCCTTTTTACCCTTTCCCTAGACCCTGCAATGAGATCCCAGGATAAAAATCAAGGCATTTCAAAACAAACAGTGTCCTCAAGTGTCTTTTAGTTGTATATTTAATTCAGTATCCAAAGTTTTGAAGGGAGGTTTGATTCCTAACTAGTGACATTTCCATCAAAATAAAGTGTGTTAGTTAAGGCATTTTCCCTGCAGCACCAAAGTATGTTTTACTGGCATTTTTAAAGCATTCAGAAAAACATGACACTTTTTTCCTCTCCATGTTTTATAAGTAAACAGTGTCCCCATATTTCAGCACTATTAAAGTGACACAATCAAAAGCAGGTCAAACCCAAGCCCTACTGCCTTTAAAACTTTACATTAAATATTTGGTTTCAGACAAATCAGCTCAGAATAACACTGGCAAAGAAACAATCCAGCAATATTACTCCTGGACATTTTTTATTTAGATATAACTTCTATCTGTCAGGGAATTCATGCATTGTTATTCATGTTCCATTCTTCTTTCTGACAAAGCAATTTATGAGCTTGCCATCTAAATAATATAGAGTTTGTTGCAGACAGAGCTAAACATGTTTCTAGTTTTCAAGTGGTGATAGCTATTAAGCAGCTGGTTAGTGTATTTTTTAACAAAAGATTTTTTTTCAATAGTTCAAGTACACTTTTTATTATTTGAATTATTATCGTTTCTTTTTCCAATGAACATGTAAAGGAATTTCAGAATTTCCTGGTTATTTTTTTTTTAATATCTTTCCTGAAAAGGCCAAGTTAGTATTTTCTCTTAAAATTACTGTATTTGCTAATATAACACCTCTGGGGTTTTTATAATAGCAACTGTCTAGGTACTAGAGAGACAAATATACAATATTTTAACTCCTATTACCATGGTCAGCCAAGATAAAATCATCCAGCTCATGAATCACTAATGGCCCCAGGTTTATGCCTTCTATACATCTGCTGCCTGGTATCAACTGAAAACCCAACCAAACCAGAAGAGGAATTCCCTTTCCTGTGTCAGTCCCTGAGGACACACTTGATCACTCATTTTGATCTAATGGGTGTGCTGGGGGGAGCACTGCACTGTGCACGACTGACAGTAGGGCTGCAGAGGGGCAGTGGATATTGTGGAATTAGAATGCTGAGTGCTCACTTTCTTAGCTCATTATTTGTGCCAGCAGCATCTCAGAGCAAGTGATGTAGAAATGCAGCATTGGGCAGTGAGTGAGGACATAGAGAAGCATATTTCTCTCTGGAATCACACACTATTCAGAAAAATAATCTTGCAGGC